TGAAATAGGTTAGGTACATAAGACACAGTAATCAATGAGTATAGTAATCTACTATTTGACAAACCCAAAGACCCCGGCTTTTGGGATAAGAACTCACTATTTGACACAAACTGCTGGGAAAACTGGAAAGAATATGGCAGAAACTAGGCACAGACCAACATCTTACACCATATACCAAAATAAAGTCAAAATGGGTTCACAATTTAGATATAAAGGCTGATACTATAAACAAACTAGGAGAGCAAGGAATAGTTTACCTGTCAGATTTATGGAGAACAGAAGAATTTATGACCAAACGAGATAGAGAACATTATGAAATGCAAAATGGATAATTTTGATTACATTAAATTGAAAAGTTTTTGCACAAACAAAGTCAATGCAAACAAGATAAGGAACAAGCAGAAAACTGGGAAAGTTTTACAACCAGTATCTCTGTTAAGGGCCTCATTTCTAAAATATATAGAGAATTAAATCAAATTCATAAGAATACAAGTCATTCCCCAATTGATAAATGGTCAAGAGATATGAATAGGCAGTTTTCAGAGAAAGAAATTAAAGCTATCTGTAGTAATATAAAAAAAATGGTCTAAATCACTATTGATTAGAGAAATGCAAATCAAAACAACTCTGAGGGACCACATTACACCTATCAGATTGGCTAACATGACAAAACAGGAAAATGATAAATGTTGGAGAAGATGTGGGAAAATTGGAACACTAATGCATTGTTGGTGGAGTTGTGAAATGATCCAACCATTCTGGAGAGCAATTTGGAACTATGCCAAAAGGGCTATAAAAATGTGCATACCCTTTGACCCAGCAATACCACTTCTAGGGCTCATAGAGACCTAGAGATCATACAAATGGGACAAAAATATTTATAGTAGCTTTTTCTGTGATGGCAGAAAATTGGAAATTGAGGGGATGCCCATCCACTGGGGACTGGATGAACAAGTTGTGGTATATGAATGTAATGCAATATTATTTTGCTATAAGAAATGATAAGCAAGCAGACTTCAGAAAAACCTGGAAAGACTTGTATGGACTGATGCTAAGTGAAGTGAGCAGAACCAGGAGAACATTGTACACGTAACAGGCACATTGTGCGATGACTAACTTTGATAGACTTAGCTCTTCTCACCAATGCAAGCATCTAAGACATCTCCAAAAGACTCACAATGTAAAATGCTATCCAGATCCAGAGAAAGAACTATGGAGTTTGAATGTAGATCGAAGCATACTATTTGCTATTTTTTTCCTTCTGTTTTGTTTCCTTTCTTGTGGTTCCTCCTATTGATTCTACTTCTTCCTTACAACATGCCTAATGTGAAAATATGTTTAATAGGAATGTATATGTAGACCCTATATCAGACTGCATGCCTTCTTGGGCAGAGAGGCAGGGAGGGAGGTGGAGAAAAATTTAAAACTTAAAAGCTTATGGAAGTGATTGTTGAAAACTAAAAATAAATTAATAAAAAAACCAATTTATCAATAAAATTTATTTTAAAAATAAAACTCATTTTGTTTTAAACATTTTAAAATCTGCTGCTGCTCTTCCTTTTATTTGATAAGCTCCACCTCACAAATCCCCAAACCAACTCTGTTTTACACTTGAAAAAAGCTGATCTTTTTCGTTATCCTGGTTCTATCATCAACAAGCAAGATAGGTTAATAAAGTAATGAAAAATAAATGCAAATCTGGCTTTTTCATGAAGAGTTACCTACTTGAATATTTCTTCAAAATGGCGTAGGACTTAGATTTCACACAAAAGCATGAAATGCTATATTCAGAGCAGACAAACTTGTCATTTCTAACTTGTGACTCATTAAAAGCCTTAGTTTATAAAGGTTCAGGTACTAAATGAAGGATTAAATCTTGCTTGAGTTTAAAATGGATTTATGGTATTGCCAACTATAAAGACTAGGAACTGAAAGGTTCCAGGGGTGAGGAACCTGCAGCTTCGAGGCCACATGTGGCCCTCTAGGTCCTCAAGTGCAGCCCTTTGACGGAATCCAAACTTCACAGTTCCCCCACCCCTGAACAACTGCAGACAGACACACAAAGAAAAAGATGTGTAGCAAATATTTTTTGGACAAGAGCAAATTGATTACAGACAATTCTCAACTTAAGAATGGAATACATTCTGAAAGTTCATTTATAAATTGGCTGGTGTTTTCCCAGAACTCTTTAAGATGGTTAGCTTTTAGGTCAGCCCACAAAAGCCCATCTGATCTTTCCACAGAGTACTATACTAATGGCATTAAGAGAATCCAACTACCATGTGCAACAATTCTTCTATGGGAAAATGTATTTGGAGTCTCCACTTGGAATTTCAGAAATACTGTGGCCCTGGGAGCTAGACTGAAGATGACTGGCGGGAATGGGGATCCTGCCAATTCCAAGTTCTTGTCAGTGGCTCCCAGAGATCCTAGGGGCCTGGGAAAGCAAGCTATTGGTGATAGAGCAAAGACAGGAATTTCAGGAGACTGAGGATGAGAAGAGAAAGGGGAAAGCAGGGATCACTATCTCTTTCTTGTATAAATTTTCAGTGACACTTTTTAGTTAAGGCTGGATTCTTGTCACTACTGTTTTTCTAATGGGCCCTTGGGCTTCCCTTTTCACTGCTATCACCTGGAGTTCCTGAAAATGGTTTCTCTCTTCAGTGGTTTACTACAGAATACAATGTAGACTTAACAATTCCCTCCCCTACCCTAAAGTCCTCAGAGTAGGTATATAACCCAATGGGGGTTCTATTTCTAAGGGTTTCTACTGCTAGCAACACTAGGCAATGAAGAAAGAAGGTAAGAAAAGGTTCTCTCCTGTGCTTCCCACCCTCATTTACTATAGAAGCAATGCCATTTCACAAACAACCTTCCTGCTGACAGGCCTCCAAATAAGGCCAGAACTTGCTATGGCCTGAGTTTTTTTTTTTTAACTGCTGGCAATAAAACACAATACAGTGGAGAGGGAATAAAAGGTTCCCTGCTCCCTTCTGGTGCTCTCCCCCTCCCCCCCACCCTAATTTGTGTACTTTTAACTCTTCAACAGAAAAAGAAACTGTGTAGAGAGGTCATGGTAGTGGTTCTTTGGATACAGAAAGGACTAAAATAGAGTCAGTTCTATTTCAGAGGCTTTTCTGAGAATCTCTTGAGCTTTGCCAGTAGAGTGGCAGGGATCCCCTCAGGAAAGGGGAGGCGATTCATAGATTATATCGAGAAGATGCTTTACAGGCCTTTTGATCCAACCCCCTTCCCCCTCTGTAGAACAGAGGACACTGAAGCCTAGAGAGACGCAGCGACTTATGGTCAGGCAGCTGGTATCAGAGCTAGGCCTCAAAGCCTCAGTGCTGGGGCTGAGAGAGGGAATTTGGAGGAGCAAGGATAGGAAGGGAAATGCCTACGAAGGTTCCACTCTCTTCCTTTGCCTCCACTGCAGATTTCAACTTGAACTGGCCTTAGGTTCAAGAGAAAAACAGGGCCTACGGTTGGGACCCGAGGCAACATTACTGTTTGCAGGGAGGGCAGAAGGGAATAAGCATTTACACGGTACCTACTATGTGTCAAGCATTGTGCTAAGCACTTTACAAATATTTTCTCATTTGATCCTCACAAAACTGGGAGGTAGGTGCTGTCATGATTCCTATTTTACAGTTGAGGAAACTGAGGCAGAGAGCAGTTCAGAGACTTGCCCCAGGCTAGTAAGTGTCTTGAGGTCATAGTTGAACTCAGGTCTTCCTGACTCCAGGCCCAGCACTCTATCTACTGTACCATCTAACTGTGGAAGTAAGGAAATGGTAGAGGCAGCTGGCAGAGAGGGAGGTTTTGGTGGCTATAGTTTCCAGGTAGCTATTTGAGCACAAAGTTCATAAAATTATTTGGGAAGCATTTTATGGGCTTTATACTTCAGTACCACAGCTAAAAGAAGAATTAGAGCTATTTGTGGTTAACACATAGTAAAGCTTAATAAATGTGTTCCCTATCTACCTTTATCTATCTGAATACTATGCCCTAACAAATAGGATTCTTCTGAGAGGTATCAGTCTTTTATGAGGCTGAAATGGAACACAAAGGGGTATTTACTCATCAGGGTATCTCTGCAACAACAGCAGCCCACAGTAATGCTAAGTTTGATACTTTAAAACCTGAAGTATTAAAGTCACGACTAATTGGCTCTCCACATATTTTAAATGTGTGCTGTGCTCTTCAAAAAAACCCCCCACAATAATAGAAATAAAAAACCCTTTAAAACCCTAAATTTGGAAAATTCTAGTTAACAATTCTTTGTTGCTTCTTGTTTCCAAAAAGGAAAGAAAGAAAATGGGAATTAGGGAGAAAAATAAATTAGTTTTCATTCTTTAAAAATTACCGCCTCATCTCCAAAGGAAATAATTACTTTCAACTTTTTCCATCCCAAGATTCAAAGCAAAATCTTGTTGAATAATAAATGGAAGGAGAGACACAAGTCTTAGAAGGCTAAGTCCACTTCCAAGGCCCTTCTGACTTTTCCTGTCCTCCCTTCAGCATTTTTGCCTGGATGTTCAACACCTGTTATATTTATTGTTCAATGTTGTTTTGAGGGCAGTGATATCAAGAAACGTCAGGCAGCTAGTATCAGAGCTAGGCCTCTAACCATGTCTTCACAGTCCTGAGGTAGCATCATCTTTCAGTCTCAAAGCACAACACTGGAGATGTTACCCCTGAAAGAGTGCTGAGGCTGAGAGGGTGGAGGGGGAGAAGCAAAGAAGGGAAGGACTATGAGGGTTCCACTCTCTTCCTTTGCCTCCACTGCAGATTCCAACTTGAACTGGTCTCAGGTCCAAGACAAAAGTAGGGCCCCATAGCTAATTCTCTTTAATGGAAAATATTCAGTTAAAATGGATAATTTTCCTTGTAGATATAGACCCTACCTAGTAATTTATTTTATCTTAATGCAAAAACACTCTAATTTAATATCTAGTTACTGGATAGTAACAAAAACACATACATCATAGTTTACTTACGTGGAATATAAGAGATCATAATCAGAATGAGGAATGCATAGTAGTCAAAGGAGAAATTGTATTTGTTAGGTAAGCTAATGGAATATAAGCTGGCTTGTCTGACGAAGGGCAAAGCAGCATATATTGTGAGTAACTCGCCTGATACTCCCATCGGGTACAGTACAATGAAAAGCGTGTACCTAAAATAAAATAAACAACAACAAAAAAATTTACTGAAGAGGCATAGGACTCAAGTGTTAGTAAATTCACTCCCATCATCACACTAGGGTATATGCAAGTAAGGTATCCTTATTAAGCCTTAAGAAACAATATGTAGAATTCAGAAAAGCGCAGGGAAGACTTATATGAACTGATGCAGAGTACCACTTAGAATCAGGAAAACAATATATAGAATGACCTTGTTGTTGAGTTGTTCTGACTCTCTGTGACCCCATTTGGAGTTTCCTTGGTAAAGATATTGGAATAGTTTGCCATTTCCTTCTCTGGCACATTTTACCAGTGAAGAAACTGAGGCAAACAGGGTTAAATGACTTGCCCAAGTTCTCACAGCTAGTATCTGAGACCAGATTTGAACTTAGGTCTTCATGACTCTAGGCCTGGCACTCTATCCACCAAGGTGCCCTTTAGAATGACTATAACAATGTAAATGGAAAGACTGACAACAACAAAAACCCCTGAATGAAGTAACAATACCAAGCTTGGTTCCCCCCAAAAGAGAAAAGACCCTTCCCTCCCTTCTTTGAAGAGGTGGGGGACTATAGGTATGGAGAAATGCTTGGATTGTCAGACTTGATCAGTGTCTGAGCTGCCTTTTTTCTTTTTCTTTTATTCTGGGCTAAAGGATAGCAAGAAAGGAAAGATATACATGGGAATGAAAGTCATGTAAAAACAAAAGCTATCAGTAAATGAGTTGTTTTTTTTTTTAAATCATTCCCATCCTTCAAATGTGTACTGATTCTTTAAAAAACAAACAACCCCCCCCCCACAACAGTATCTAGATTTTTCGGCTTACCCACTATTTTCCTTAGACCTAAGTTTTAAGAGCTAATTTTTGAAAAACGACTAATAATAGGGACTTTTTTGGGGGGAATGTTTCTTACCAGTCTCAAAGGGCATCCATGACTATACAATATCTCAAATTAAAAGTGAAAGACAAATTTCTTCATCGCCTTAAAATTACTAAGACATTAGTAATAATAATGATCTCATCTTCTCTGCCTCCTGGCTTCTCTCAAGTCTCAGTTAAGTTAAAGTCCCACCTTCAGCAAGAAGCCTTTTCCAGGCCTCCTTAATCTTAGTGCATTCCTTCTGAGATACCCTCCAATTTATCCTGTGTCTATCTTGTTTGCACATGGCTGTTTGCATGCTGTCTCCACCATTAGACGGTGAGCTCCTTAAGAGCAGGGATTATCCTCTGCCTTACTTTGCATCCCCAGGGCTTTCTCTGCACAGTGCCGGCACAGTGGCACACAGAAGGCACTTAGTAAATGCTTGTTGATTTGGCTCCCTTGATAATAGTTCATATTTATAAAAGCAGTTTATGGTTTAAAAAGTGCTCTCCTCACAACGACCCTGAAAGGCAGGTCGTACAATATTCCCCTCCTCATTTTAAGGAGATGAGGTAAGGGAGGCTCAGAGAGGTCATGGGGGAGCACAGAGAGTCATAGCTTACACTTCTAGTATAATCAATGAGGTAAGCAAAACACCTGTCTTGGTTCCTAGGTTTCCTTCTAACTAAGCTTAGAAAAGATCTTCAGACTTAGCTGAAAGTAGGTGTCCAAATGACTGGCAGACAAGCATTAATTTTGACAAATCTGACAAACTGAAAATGCTACTGGAAAATGCTAACTTTCTCCAGAAGATTAATAGTCTGAAGTTGGTAAGGGAAGAATTACATTTCATTATAAATACTGAAGTGAATGTGAAAATCTGATGAAAAAATTTACATGAGTACTTTTAAGCTTCTGACACTGGCACTTATTTTTTTTGGCAAGTTATTCAATTGATGTCATCTGGACCTAGGAAGTCCTATTTGAGAATCTAAACTACCTTTAACTCTCAACACCATAATCAATGAATTCTTTTTAATAGATTTTGTTGAAACCATCAATGAATCCTTAGCATATATTCACCAGATACAAAGTACAATGCTAGACCTGAATATTTCTTCTACTGGCTATTATAATTTGAAACATTCTTCCCAGTGAAATTGAGAGGTACTAGAATAACAGCAAATATTTACCAAGCTTCAAGGTTTACCAAGTGCTTTCCTTCCCACAACTCTGTGAGGTGAATGGGGTAAGTGTCACTGATGTCATTTCACAGGTGAATTAACTAAGGCTGTGAGAGTTTAAGTGACTTATGCATGGTCACATAGCAAGTACTGCCAGGAGCAGGATTTGAACCTCAGTCTCCAAAATCTAAAACCACAACTCTGATTTTCTTATTCATGAAATAAACAAGAAGACATGGTTTCTGACTTGAGGGAGACAGCACAGATCAGATCCCTGTCCATTCTGCTTGTTACTTCTATTCTCAGGAGGCAAAACTTAGGAAATAATGAAGAAAGGAGGAATAGGGTGATTGTGATAGCTATGACTCAATGTGCTTCTTACCTGGCCCATTTGATGATATAAGGCAGATGGTTTAGTAGACTAAATGTATAAAAGGAGTAGCGAATAATCTCAGTGATTGTCCAAGCAATCACAAATAGAAGGACACTGTCTTCATTCTGTACCTATTTAAAGAAGAGAAGGAAAAAAAAACAACAGCCTACATTAAAAATAGAGTTATTCACAATATGTTAAAAAGTTGTACAACTTGAAGGTATTATCTATCATCAAATGAGTACCTATTATGTAAAGAGTAATAGTAAGTTATGCCAGTAAAGAAAATAATGTTTTCTGCCCTCGAGGAGCTTACAGACTAAAGAGATCGAACCAATGCAAATAAAAGGAGGAAATCCTCAAAGAACAGCAATGAGAATATTATGTAACCAATAATAGTTGTGGCAAGTACTAAGGAAAGTGATGGGCTAGATGATGTCTGGAAGGCCTAGAATGAAAAAAGATCTTTTGAACACTGTCGGCAAGGCAGGCAAGGCTTAGAGGAGGCTGGGCATGGCAGGTGGGAGAAATAGCATGTGCCACAGCTCAAAGACAAATACAGACAAGTTAGGAGTGGGATGGAGTAAGTAGGTTTGCTGGTTGGTAGAAAGAACATGAATTCAGGGACAGTGGGAGTTGAGAGTAGTTAGGTAAGAGGGTGGGAGGGCAATTGGTAGAAGGCTTTTAAAACCATTATTAGGAGTTTTCATTTGATTTGTATGACAACTGGGAATCACAGTAGAATATCACAGGAAAGAAAGGCAGTGTAATGATTAAAATGATGACTAAATATGGTTCTGCATGGAGGGCTGCTTTAACTGAGGGCAGAGGAAGGATACCACCTAGGGGCAAGCCCATTTACTGGCCTTTTCTCATGGCCTCCTTGTATTGCATTTTAAGCCATGAGGATCTAGATCTCGACTATAATGTCCAGACTTAACTATTTCAGTAACCTATTTTCTGACTGACAGTTTTTCCTTCCTTTGGATATGTTCATGTGCTTAAAAGCAGTATACTTATCAAAGTGCCACTAGATATCACTGCCATTCATGCTCGTTGTACAAAGCGTAATGTTGTCTCCCCAGATGCCCAAGGGTCTTACACACACATACAATAAATTGCTATGGTGTTTTACACCTTTTCTGAGTCATGGATGCTTTGGAAGTCTGGTGAAGCCTAGGGACCCCTTTTCAGAATGTTTCTAAATGTATAAAATGTATAGGATTGTAAAGGAAATCAAAGGTTAGTGAAAATAAAGAGGTAAATTTTTTCCCCATTCAAGTGCACAGGCTGACATCTATCCATGGATCATCCTTAGGCCACAAGCTTAGAACCCCTGCATTAAAGTCATATTTTGTTTTTGAAAGAAAATTATAAGTAACAAGCACTGCTTCCCTCGAACCTTAATAACCTATGTTTTCCCACATTCGAGTGTGAAGGGCAGGCCAAGACTATATGAAAAATAAAGACTTTTCTTAATATCTTTTGGGGGAAAAAAGAATAAATCTTAATGAAAAAATGGGCAGTCTCAGTCTTACTACTTGTATGACAAAAGTATATTAATGCTACTTTCTGACCTTTAGGTTTGTAATGTTAAAATAATTCTTATGATGCTTAGGTTCCTCCTAAGAAAGTCTACATGCAGTTCTCCCCCTACACAATGGAATAACTAGTCATTTACATAACTATTAACTAAATTGCTCTGACAATGAGTCTTATTGTTCATAGTTACTATTCTCTAAAAATAATAAGAATTTCATGCTGTCAAAAGCAAGAGTTACTTTTCCCCTTCCTTCTGCTCTTACATCAGAGGGGGTGGAAAGAGGGCATCTACACCACACCAAAAACATCTTGTTTTGAGACCATCCTCCAAAAGTGAATAAGTTGAACTCATGCTTAAAACCCAATACTAACGGTTGTGTTTCTTGAGTTTATTTTGTGTTTTCTTGTATTTGTAGATTATTAGGACCAAATTAGAAGTGGGAGAAGGGATAAAGCAAGATCTGAAATCTTTTGACGTCTACATGGACATGTTTTGGTACTTCAAAGGTGTAAGTCCTATCTGAAATACCAGAGATTATTGTGAAAACTTCCTTTAAGTACTTCAGTCAATCTTGGGGAACTTCATCCCTTGGTTTCTCTTTCTGGGATCCCAAAACAGCTTTTGAAAGTTGTTTGCCCCTTTGAACTAACATTAATAATGATACAAAACAAAGCAAAAAGTCTACCCAAGAACTCAGCAATCAGCCATTAAAAACACAATAAGTATGAACTCAGGCAAAGTGTGAAAACTTGCTTGCTCCTAATACTTTGATAAAATTTCATCCTGGGTCCCTACAGAAAGGAACTCCTAAAAGGCCCACTGATTTTCACACAAATGATACTTTTGGATCAGATGCAAGTGCAACACAGTTATTCTCAAAAATGTGCAGATGAGAGAAAGCATAAATAACAGAATCAATATTCAAAATAAAGTGAATTGTGAAAAACAGGCCAAATATGTAATACTAGGCCAAAACCGAATGAATGACATTTAATGAAGATAAATGTGAAATTCTGTAATTACGTGAAAAATGAATTGTACTGGCCTGGTAACAGTTTGGGTAATTCAGGTTAAAAAAAAAATCTTGGAGTTTTGGTTGAGCCAACACTATGATGTAGCAAAATAAGCTAATGCAATCTTAGGTACAGTGTCCTAGTGTCTTGGTTTCAAGTAATAACAGTCTCATATTTTGCACTGGTCAGACCATATCTGGAGCATTATGTTTAAGTTCTGGGTTTGACACTTTCAAAGGAACACTGATACACTATAAAATCCAAAAAAGATCAACTAGGATGGTAAAGATTCTAGAGGAGACTTAAAGAGGAGAGATGATAGCTATTTTCAATAGACTTTCATGTAGAAGAAGGAACAGACCCATTCTGAATTGCCTCAAAGGCCTGAACCAGGACCAGCGGGAGGAAGGTACTAGAAAGATTTTGGCAAAGCAAGAATTTTCTAAAAATGGAAAGTGCTGCCTTCTGAAGTAATGAGCTCCCCGCTTACAAAATTATTCAAGCAAAGGTTGGATGCCCATCTCTCTGCCAGGCATTGTACTGAACAGTTGGTTGGATTAGGTGATTTTGAAGGTCCCTTCCAACTTCAAGAGTCTATGGTTACATAAGTGACTTTAATTCTTCCTTTAGGGATTGTTAAGTGTACATTTGAAAAGTGTGAGTATACAGCACAATGTTCTACCTTGTGACTACAACTAATACTTCCTTAAATAACCGCAATCTTCAAGTAGAAAACACAGGTATATGTTCTTTAAAAGCAAATAACTGTCACTTCAAAAGGAAGCTGAAGAGAATACTTTTGGAATCTACCCTCCCTCCCGTTTTCAAAAATTGTTTTCAATCTCAAAAAACCACAAATATTTCTCAGCGGCACTAGATTTGGAGTGCGAAGGTGAATCACAACTTCTCTGGGTACCAGTTTTATCATTTGTAAATAAAGGACTTAGACCAGATAACCTATGAGGTTTCTAACTTTAAAGGCCTATGATATTAATTGTGCAAAGTCAGGATGTTCATGTTTTATTTTTAGTGACAAAATAGCTTTTAAAGGAGTGACACTGCCAACCTGTGGTGTTTCTAAAAATTGTCATTAGGATTATTTTAAAGCTCAAGTCATTTATAATAATTTACATTTACATAGTGTCTTAAGGTTTACAATGTGTTCTCACAACAACCCTATGACGTAGATGGGCCTATTATTCTATTTTATGGATGAAAAAACAGAGGGCTTAGAGAGATGAAGGGACTTCTCTAGGCAATTCATGAGGAAGTAAATAGCCATAACTAAAATCCAGTTCTTCTAAACCTAAGTCCAAGGTTCTTTCTACAACGGTTCCCTCTTTTACAGATAACCAGCATAAACCATCAGTAACTCATCATTTTTCCACTCCCAAATACTGACAAAAGCAACTTCCTTACCTGTATCCTCACCATTATCCTCTTAATCCCCCAATTTTAAAACTCTGAAGCCATCTTTGACTCCTCTTTGTCCTTCATTCCCTACATTCAGCTGAAATGTTATGAATGCCAGGGGCCAATGCATTGTGATGTAAGTGTTTTTCATTCCTTTCAAGCTCCTATAGTTGTATCCTGCAGTGATTTTTAGGAAGGAGTTACCCTTTTATAGAAATTTTTAAAAAAATGTTAAAAACCAGCTTGCCTCTTGCCTTTTTTATTGGTATCCCACACAACAAACATCCTTTTCTGTGGCAAGGACAATCACAGGCAGCACAATTCTTGAGTATTATCAGGAAGCAACTAAATAAATATCTAACCCAGAACCTGAACAGACCCTATACTTACAATGGACGCTTTGAGACATTATGCATGTCGGCCTGCTTCCTGGGTTTCACATGCAGAGAAACTTTTTTTCCTGCCATGAAACCAACAAAATAAGAACTTTGAACACAAATATCTGTGCTTCTACATTCTGTGGGGTCCAAACAGGCCACAAGACATTTGATAAACTTCTGGGAATACTGACATTATACTTTTCATTCTCACTCACGGTCATAATATGAACTTGACTTTGATTTCCATACAAATTGTAGATAGGGTCTAGGATCTCTTAAAGAGATCACTGGTAAATGTCTAGATAGTAAAGCTGTGATTACAATGAACTATCATGGCTTCATCAAGAATAAGGTCATGCCAGTCTAACCTCATCTATATTTTTGATAGTATAACAAAACTAGTAAATAAAGGGCAAGCTATAGGAAGTTTACCTAGACTTTAGCAGCGCTTATAATAATTTGAGATACTACTGAGACACTATACTTGTGGAGAAGATGGAGAGACATGGACTAAATGAAAATACAATCAGAAGAATTCAGAACTGTTTAGACAGCCAGACTACAAGATTAGTCAGGAGATCTCCAGTGGGATCTGTGCTTAGTCCTGGGCTGTTTGAGTTTCTGAATGGAGACACAAACGGCAAAGCTTCAAGGATGACTAACACAGTGGATGACTTGACACAAAGGGTTGAATTTAATAAGGTGAAATTCAAAAGGGGTAAATGCAGTTGTGTACTTGGGTATCAAAAAACAGCTTGACAAGTATGTAATGGGGAAGGCTC